GGCAGGGGCCAAACAGGCCAAGACTAAAACGGAGCAGGAAACTATGGCACCTGACACCTCTAGGAGCCCACACTTGAATCAGAGCAGGCAGAAATTAATTCAAGAGGAATTTTGACATGAGCTCTGCCGTTGTACTCTGCTTTCATCCCCGATACATGAATCCTATGAGACTAACTTACATAGTTTTATGGAAATGTAATATTATATTAAGTTAACGAATATTCTGCTTAAGTGAAAAATGGATCATTTTTATTTTGTGGTTTCTACCAAAACCCTCTAAGGTTTAGGGGACTAAACATTTAATTAGCCAAGTTACCCTTTAAGTTTCATTTGGCTCTCTATTATTCATAATGCCTTCCCAGCGTTAACTGTTTGCTCTCTGTCCTGAACCCGACAGATATTTAATTCAATACATCAAACACTTACTGAGAGGTTTCTAAAGGTCAAGCCTAATACTAGACCCTGGGGACATAAAAACACAAAACAAAACAAACATGTTTTCATAATAAATGTATGTCAGCATTTATACACATAAGCATAGAAAAAGAAAACTAGATTAATAATAAGTGACAAGTTTACTAGTGATTGTGTCTGGATAGTGGGATAATGAATAACTTCCACTTCCTCTTTTCAATTTTTCTGGATCCAAACCTTTTTAATATGAGGGTATGTTACTTTTGTAATTATTAAAAACCAAAACCAAACACTAAAGCTCCTTCTATGGGACAAGACGAAAGGGAAGTAAAGACACGCTCACTGTATATTTGTTAAACTTCACAAATGAATTTTTACACTAAAACAAAAATTTTTCTTCTAAAAAAAAAGGAGGGGGGCTGATTATTATTATCAGAAACAATTTTGAGCATCTGAGATCCTATCTGACAATGAACTGTGACCAGACCAATCAGATTAAGCGGTCAAAACCTATTTGTCTCAGGTAAGTAGTCAGTAGGCCATAAAAAGAGTCCTTGAGTTTAAACATACTATTTATAATGTTAGATAATTTAGAGCCTCCAAAGCTCACTGGGGAATAATAAACGCCACTTGTGAACCAGAAATAAAAAAGGTTTTATTCAAAGAAGTAGAGAAAATGGATCATTGGGGCTCATGCATTTAATTTCATTTGTTAGTTTGTTTTGTTTCAGTAGATACAAGTGAAAAATGAGTTTCTGCTATGTGCCTTGGATACTTAAGCTTATGTTAGAAGTCTGGGTAAATATAATGATACTCAAAGAAATAAACTGGAAACCACAAAACAAATATTTATAACCAAATGCTCAACCACAGTAGTACCAATGAAATTCCTCTCTAACGAGCCTGGATTAGTAGCTGCAAACTCAAGTTGAAACGTGTGAATCACTCACTGGTAAATCACCTTTAAGGTTACATTTATCAGGAAGATTTGTTTATGCTACTCATATATATAATTGCCACTCATGAATTTCAATCAATCACGATCGCTCATTTCAAAAGTAACTAAAATCTCAGTTAATCAGCTCCAGATTGTCCCCCAAATTATTTTCTCCACTCTTAAATTGATGATAAAAGTGCAATGTCGGTTTTGGAGGAGCAGCATAATGGAGAAGGGCATATCTACCTAAGTTAAGAAACTGTGTGCTGTCTCTTCTAACCGCCAACCTATGGCCCTTTACTTTCCCTCTACTTACACTTTCCATCTGTCAACAAGTGCTTGTAATTTTATTACACTGTCCTGTAGTTTATGCAGAGTTGGTATTATTTTACAGAGTTCTGTTAATGGACTGGATAAATGGTAATGCTATTTAAACTAGTCTCCTGCTCCAACAAACACAGCTGCAACTGTACTACTATTTCTGAGCAAACATCTTGACCTGAACATGTAGTGCTCTCTCAACCCGTCCAAAGAGAAATTGGAGCAGACAGCAAAGGAAAAGCATATTTGGCCGCTAGCAGTAACCAACCGTGTCAAATCATAATTCATACGCAGTGTACCCTCTTTTTCCTTTATGTTGCATTTAGAGTCCAAAAAAAGCATGTGTGCTTCTTCACCTGGCATCTCATTTTCAGCCAAGACTCGAACGGTGATTATTCGTTAAAAAGGGAGAAGAAAACCTGCATAATGTCCTGTATATCAGACTAGCTTTAATCTAAGTAAATAATGATAAAAATCAGACATCAGTAGTATGAATTCCCCATTAAATAATAATAAAAGTATTAAATAGGAGTAAAAGTATTAATTCAATAAGTTAGAAAAAGAAATAGAGATACTAATGAGAATTATGCAACTACGGATAAAGAGAAAATAAATTAAAAATTTGTTTCTTTCATGAATTCTAGATGTGTCTGTCTCTAGTACATTCTCTAGCAGGCCAATCATGGATTGCTTAATTTGTATATGCAAAAACCAGCCAAAACCTTCTCCATCCCAACATATTTTCTCTATTATTTATCAGAAGTCCTGTATCCTTTGTTCTGTCATTTATCCTTCTTGTGAAAGAAAGATTCATTTTTTTCAATGAACATTTTATACAGCATTTTTGTTTGTAGATTTGTGCACATTCTTCCATCTGTTAGAACATTTGTTTCGGATGAACTACTAGGCACCTGTACCACATGAAGAAAATCTGAACTTGAATCCTCCCTCTTGGAAATTACACTGGCCAGGCAGTCAGGCTCACACGCTTTTGTTCTCTTATTTATCAAAGACATTTAATGGTGGTCGTTTAACCCAATTAATGATCATGGTCATTAAAAAGTGGTCACATGTAGCTTATAACTTATCCTCTCAAGAGGAGTATCACTGGTAACAATTCACTAAATCTAATTCAGTTCAACAACTCAAAAGAAGATTCTGGACATGAGCATGCAGAAAAAAATTACACCACTATATTTCCACATGTATTTAATGCTTATGTCAGGTGTTAATTCCCAGTCAATATTAAACATTAAGCCATCAATCTGTAACTTCGGGAATATCAAAGCATTCAAGTCCCTCTTGTCACTAGCCCTAAGAAATAAAACTTTATCTTCCAAAACTACCCAGAAAAAATCATTTGAACCAAATAGGTACATCATAACTCTGAATGCATGATCTGCCTGCCTATTTTTCCACTTTCAATGTGCTTTTAATTAACTAGAAAATATTGCCTGAGAGTTTTATGGGTTCTGTTTCTTTAACTTACTTCTTAAAGATATCAGTTCTCTTTTCACACAGTGGTTTCCTAAAGTTATAAAATCACAACAAAATATAAGAGAAAATCCCTTGGTTCACTATGTGATATTGTCAAAGAGGAAAAAATGTTCAACAGAATATAATTTGCTTATAGAGAATTCTGCACTGGATCACACTACCTGAAGCCTCCTAAGAAAATTAATCCAAGTACTTCTAGACTAAAAATCACAAATTCTTGTTGCTCAGAGACAGTGTAGAAGCTAATTTTCCCCTCTTCAGCTTAATGCTTTAATTGTAGATAACAGCCATTCATTTAACTGTATTTTCAGTAGCTACATAGAAAAAGGAAAATTTCCATTTGGACACTATTAAGAAGGTAGTAGTTTCATATGCCTCACTGTACACCAGCCTTGAAATCAATTCTTTAATCCCCTCAATCACAAATCTGAAAGCAAAAAGTAGAATGACTCTTAAAACCATCTTTGTGGCCCTTCTTGGAAACTTAGCAGAAATATTTAAATATAAGTATATATATATATATATATATATATATATAATTTTTATAATAGCCTAGATCCTATTTCCTTGGTCAAAACAGTCCCCACAGAATTCTTATTTAAAAGTCAATCTTCAGGTTTCTTTCTTTCTTTCTTCTTCTTTTTTTTTTTTTTTTTTTTAAATTTTAATTTACTTAAATTGAGCCAGTTACTTTGGCTGTCCTTACAGGAACAGTACCAGGAAGGTCAAACTCTCGATGGGGTACATTAGCTGGCTGCACATTTGCCTACTGGGACAGTTCTCTCTACAGTGAGCTAAGGCATCAGCAGGACTGTTCAGAGATCCTGGCTACAATGCAGGGAGGTCTCTGAGAGGACAGTCCTCCTACTTTTGGAATTGATAACAGCAATATTGAATTAACAGACTATGACGAAGCCAAATTCAGAAAAAAGCAATCTGCTCACCTTCCTTACAAACACAAACCTATGGGACATCCCCACCATCCTGGTGGAAGACTTGCTGAGCAGTTTATTCTATATATCCCAAGAGTTTTGTCACAATGTCACAACAGACGTCAATAATCATCGTTATTTATTTTTCCAACACTTTGTAGCTTATCTCCCATCTGCACAAAATCATTTATATGGCTGAAAATCTCATTTTAAAAGCTTTCAAAAATGTGTTTTCACTATTACATATTAGGTCAGGGAACAAGCATTCCAGGGAGGAAAAACTGATTCTGCCTAAAACTCACATTATGTGCCTTCCAGGGAAGTACTTCCGTTATTAACAGTCTATGACATATTTGTTATGAAACCTTTACAGTCATTCCTATTTCAGAGTTTGGAATTCTGGCTTTAAAGGGAATATTTAAGAGTAAATTTACAACCCTCTTTAAATACCTTATAATAATATTTCCAGACTGATAAACACTACTCCAGTATAGAAACAATGTCAAGAAAGCTGACATTAAGAGCCCTAACTTTACAAGAAAACACTGCCAACTTCCTCTGAAGAGGAAGTACAGGGGCAGTTTTCCTCTTCAGAACTTAATCAAAATTTTCCATAAAGAAGTAAGGTAAATCTCCTCATCATCACATAACTGAGAAAGAAGAATACAATTATAATGACTCATACATAAACCACTAAATGCTAATCAAATAAAACAACTGGAACCACTGGAAAACAAATCATAAATTTCCTCAAGAAAAAGAAAAAAAAAGGCAAACTTTTAATCCATTAATCTATCGGTGAACAGATTGCAGGAAAGCACAAGGAAACAGATCCAAAATACATTTAATAAAATACAAGGTACTACCCAAAGCAACAATAACTATTTCTGTCTACTTACAGTCTGTACAGCTTCGAAGTCCCAAGAAACAGCAACTCAGGAAACAGCTGAAGGTGATTTCTGTTTAAACGCCTTTGGAGGAAAACAAAAACAAAGCATATGTTACACAGAAAATACCCAACAAATGAGTCGGGGATTTGGTTGTGTCATGCCTCATCCTGTATTTCGGAAAAGAAAGAAATGACATTCAAAAGAATTCGAGCATTGCAAATCAAAAGTTGGTTACACCTTTTGTTACCTGACTCTTTAAAGCCATTTTCCATGACGCTTACTCAGATGATTCCCCAGGCCTAAACCCTAACCTCACGTCCTGTGCAACATCAGTCATCCAGAACATACACAATGAAAAAGGATGTCTTAGATTCTGGTGTCTAGGTTGGGTGAGTGCTGCATACAGCTCAAATGCCACAGTAAACAGTGCCCTAAAATAATTCACGTGCTGTCCCAGATGACCTAAATTTTACGCCAAGGCATTGTGAGGAAATGGAAATTCCAATTTCATGAGCATCTTGCTTAGTTGTGGGGGGAAAAAAAAATGTGAGAAAGTGTCAGCACGATTTGTCCCTATGGGCAAAAGCAGAGGAAAACTGCAGACTTCCAACCTAAACCTGCAGTTCTTGACCCCTCACTTGAAAATAAGTCTGGGTTATAATCAATCATGGGGGCTAAGAATGTTTAAATAATGTTTTTTTAAGTGTTTACTTGTTATGAAGCTAAATTTAGGAATTTTAAGTGTTTACTTGTTATGAAGCTAAATTTAGAATTTAGGGAAAAAATGTGATTGCAACCCTAACTCAATTAAACTGTGATTCCAGGTAACTGAGTTCTTCTGGAGTGGGCATGCTTGTTTAACAGTAGGTAGGTTTTGGCACTGATGTACTCATCTCCCAATCCCATTCACTATAAGTGGACAATTTAACATTTCAGTAAAAATAAATCTACCTCTCTGCTTTTCCCAAATTTGAATAAAATAATGACAAGCTGATGCAAAAATGTGCACTTAAATGATTTACAAGTTGCTATAGCTGCAGATGAGAGTAATAAGGTCCAGAAAACGAAAGTCACGTTGAAGAAACTGGAGTCCTAAGTAGCAATGTTAGGAGGACAGGAAAAGGCGGCATATCAATCTTGACATACATAAATGGTCATGAGGTAGAAGCAAAATTATACTTATTTAACCTGCAGATGGCAGAAATGGCACTAGTGATTATAACTCTTAAGAAAGCAGGTGAGGGGCACCTGGGTGGCTCAGTGGATTAAGCCGCTGCCTTCGGCTCAGGTCATGATCTCAGGGTCCTGGGATCGAGTCCCACATCAGGCTCTCTGCTCAGCAGGGTGCCTGCTTCCCTCTCTCTCTCTCTCTGCCTGCCTCTCCGTCTACTTGTGATCTCTCTCTGTCAAATAAATAAATAAAATCTTAAAAAAAAAAAAAAAAAGAAAGCAGGTGATAAGGGAGAACTTTATAAGAAATAGAGAATTTCCAAGGATTAGAAAAAATGGAATGTCCTGCCTTAGGAAATGCTCAACTCTTTATTCCAAGCAGAAGCCATGCGTTTTGTTTGTTTGGGTTTGTTTGGTTTTGTTTTTCCTGCAAAGGATTAAAAAAAAAAAAAAAAATCCTGCATTAGATGAGAAATTGCACCAGGTGAACTCCAGAACTTACTCCAACTCCAAAATGTCACGAGGCAATGATGAAAACTGTAACTTTTGTTACATAAACTCCTATTATGAAGACGCTGATCATCTACAGAAACATTCTCAACACTTAATAAAATGCACACTCATAAAAAAGTATGCCAAGACAATTAGGGGGAAAATAGTAAAATCAGTGGTGAAAGGGCAGAATTTCTTCCCACTTACACTAATTTTTTATAAATAAAGCATATAATAAGGTTAAATTTAAATTGAAACCAAAAGCTATTACTCATTTATTTTTCTCTGCTGGGCATGGAGAAAGGAAGAAATACTTTTGACGAAATGGTACTTCCAGAACCTAATTATATAATTTTGATTAAATGCAACTTAATTATGACCTTGTTATATTTTTTTCTCTCAAAAAATAAACCACAAATATTCACAATAGCAGCAACTAGAATTTTTCCAGGGAAGCAACTACTCTTGGAAAGGCTCCCATTATTCAAAGAGCCAATCTCAATTTTTAAAATGGCAGACATGGGCTATCATAGTCTCATTCAAACCACTGGACTAACAAATATTCTCCAAGATTCTCCAGTCACAACCAGTATGCTCCTTCAAGCCCCTAGTTTCTGCTGTTTGGGGAGCTTTCCTTTTTCAGTGGTACTTTCTTATATCTTACGTGAAGCTTCCCTAATTCCCCCCACACTGAGGTAGTTCCTCCCTTGGCTGCATCCCTATATCCCCATAGAATTCGATAAATAAGAGTCCTAAACGTTGTATTGTATTTATTCACATACTCATCTCTTTCCCCGTACACTGTAAGCTCTTCAAGTATAAAGACCACATCTTTGTATCCCCTTCCTTCTTCTCTGGCACTCAGTGAGTTCTTAGGAAATGCTAAATGAGAACATACTTCTCTTTTTGCATTTTTATATATTTCGGCAAAACACTACCATATGCATTTTATATTCAGCCAACTTTCCTCTGGGTTGCGTTCTGAGGTTCCTGCCTTAGTTTTTATGCCGCTCTCTAGCTAACCAAAGCCCCGTCACCAAACTTGCTTTCACATTCCCTATATAGCAATTACTCCTCCCTCTGCTATCCTCAACATTATCTAGAAGTTGGAAGGAATCCAGTATGTTTCAACAAATTCAGAGATCCTGGGAAAGTAGATATTTCAGATTGGGTACAAGCAGAGTCTTAATTATTCCTTTCATATTCCCAGCCATTCTTAATTCACTCTAAGACCAATAGTGAACATATACTAAGCTTACTACGTGGTGATCACTGTTCTGAGAGGTTTGTATGAATTATCTCATTCATTCTTCAGAACCAATCCCAACAGTAGGTACTGTTGTTACTGCCATCCAGAGAGTGGTACACAGCTCATAGAAAGCAGAGCTAAACCCTGAACTCAGGGAGGGTGATTCGATAACATATCCTCTGAACCACTTCTATAAAAGAGACACAAGGCTAAACATTTCTAAACATTAACTCAAAATAACATAATACTGAAATTTTACCTCTCATCAATCTCTCCTTGGGAAAAACATAGCTTTATGGAGTCTATTTCTTTAATATTTAATTCTAATTCCAATTCTTTAATATTTAATAAAACACTTGAAAATAAAACATTTTTAAATGAACATGATATTCAGCTCACTGTTTTAAAGACCCAATTTAAAAAATGCCTGAAGTTTGAGAGAAAAATGAAAATATGTATAAAATCATTTTCTCTGAATTCAGGTAGTTTATCATTGTTTCATAAAAATTATTGTGAATGATCTTAACATTGTCTAAACCAAACAGGAGCATAAGACAGGGTAGCATACTAGAAGGGCAGATAGTAAGTGATATGATAACATACATGGAAAAACAGTATGAAGATTTTTCCCTATAAGAAACTCTCAGTACACTTGGGATTCCTATTCTTCTTTCTTCCATCAGTGCTAAGAATAAATGGAAATACAAATATTAAAAGCCAAAACTCTCCCAAAATATTCAATGAAGGGAAAAATTTCAAAGCAGGAATTTCTTGTAAAATGACCAGAAATTAAATTCTTCAAGAGAAATTTTTTTTAAATCCAGAATTACTTTAAAGACCACTAAGGTGCATAATAATTTCTAAACAAGGCTGAAGAATAAGCAACCTTGCTAGCACCTTCGAATGACACAGAATACTTCGAGTAGTTTGACGAGGATAGTGCCGTAACAATCCTCATGTAAATGAGTTAAAGAAGTGAAAATCTGATGGTTCCCAAACAGAAAACAGCAGGTAGTGAACTAAACGTATCTCTGGGGAGGATTTCTGGGAGCCAGACTAAACTGGTTCCAGTAAGGTGACCAGGTGGGTCAGTTACCTACTGTTCAGAGCAAGGACATTCAACTGTGTTGAAGGAAAGATAGAGTCACACGCAGCGTTCGAGCCACCAGCTATCAGGGCTAACCGAGATCCTCTGGGTAGTAATTCAAGACTTCAGAAAGGGGTGTAAAGTGTGTCTCAAAAGTGTGTTTTCTTAGGGCAAAGATGACAGAGATCCTGATAACTGTTTCCTCTGTGCTACAGCTCTTTGAGTATGACCTTCAGTGGGGTGAAGAAGCTTTCTGGGTCACACAAAACACCACTGTCCTCTGAAACACTGATTCTTAACAACCTCAATTTGGAAGGCAGCCTGAGCATTATGGACAAGCATTGCTTCAAACGATCTGTCAGCAGGTCCAATGGCTTGTCCATTCATAGAACAGACAGTCTCTTATTTTTTCAACTTTTACTTCAATTCACGGAATATGTGGAACCTTTATCCCAATTCAAAATGTAAAACGGAAACAATTGTTCCTGTTGTTGTAAATGTAAAGGATTTTAGCCATGTGCCCAGTCTGTAATAAGTGTTCACTTAAGTGCTGCCTTCATGAGTTTATCATGTACAATCTCCTATATATCATACAAAAATGTCTTCTTTTCAGGCAAAACTTTTACTTGTTTTTTAAAATATTTTTATTCTAACATTTTTAAGGCAGAGATTCTAACAGGTATGTATTATTTAGATGGATAAATTTAACTTATTAGTAAAATCAAACATATTAGTAATTAGTTTCCTCTTCACTCCCCTTACTTCTTGGCATTTCTCTACATCTTCAGAGCAATTACGAGAAATACTCTGAAACAAAACTTGGAAGAATTTTTGTACATTATTCACATCTTTTCTATTGCCATATGCCACATTAAGAAAATCAGAATGAAAACAATATAGTAAATGTGGATGTACAAAAGTAAAATTTATTATGTACACATTTTATTAGCTCAAGAAGATACAATAATGCCTAAACTGAGCTTTTGAAAAATAGGAGAGATGTTGAAATGCATAATAATAGTTCTTTAAATGCCAACCATGTGACAAGGATTTTGTGAAACTATATGTACATTATCTCACAGA